AGTTGAATCTCAGATAGAGGAGGAGCAATGTGGTTTTCGTCCTGGCCGTGGAACTGTGGACCAGCTCTATACCCTTGCAAGGGTGATGGAGGGGGCATGGGAGTTTGCCCAACCAATCCACATGTGCTTTGTGGATTTGGAGAAGGCTTATGACCGTGTCCCCAGGGGCACCCTGTGGGGGACGCTCCAGGAGTATGGGGTGGGTGGCTTTCTGTTAAGGGCCATTCAGTCCCTTTACCAGAGGAGCGTGAGTTTGGTCCGCATAGCCGGTAGTAAGTCGGACCTGTTCCCAGTGAGGGTTGGACTCCGCCAGGGCTGCCCTTTGTCACCGGTTCTGTTCATCACTTTTATGGACAGAATTTCTAGACGCAGCCGTGGTGTGGAGTGTGTCGAGTTTGGTGACAGGAGAATCTCGTCTCTGCTGTTTGCGGATGATGTGGTCCTCCTAGCTTCATCCAGCTCTGACCTTCAGCTCTTGCTGGGTAGGTTCGCGGCCGAATGTGAAGCGGCTGGGATGAGGATCAGCACCTCCAAATCTGAGGCCATGGTTCTTGACCGGAAAAGGGTGGCTTGCCACCTCCGGGTCGGGGGAGAGGTCCTACCTCAAGTGGAGGAGTTTAAGTATCTCGGAGTCTTGTTCACGAGTGAGGGTAGGAGAGATCGGGAGATCGACAGGCGGATTGGTTCGGCGTCTGCAGTGATGCGGACGCTGAGCCGATCTGTCGTGGGGAAGAGGGAGCTGAGCCAGAAAGCCAGGCTCTCGATTTACCGGTCGATCTACGTCCCAATCCTCACCTATGGTCATGAGCTTTGGGTAATGACCGAAAGAACGAGATCGCGGATACAAGCGGCCGAAATGAGTTTCCTCCGTAGGGTGGCCGGGCTCAGCCTTAGAGATAGGGTGAGGAGCTCGGACATTCGGGAGGGACTCGGAGTAGAACCGCTGCTCCTCCGGATCGAAAGGTGCCAGTTGAGGTGGTTTGGGCATCTGGTCAGGATGCCTCCTGGACGCCTCCCCGGGGAGGTGTTTCGGGCATGTCCTGCTGGCAGAAGGCCCCCGGGTTGACCCAGGACACGTTGGAGAGGTTACATCTCCAATCTGGTCCGGGAACGCCTTCGGGTCCTGCCGGAGGAGCTGGTGGACAAGACCGGGGAGAGGACGGCCTGGAGCTCCCTAATTGGGATGCTGCCCCCGCGACCCGGACCCGGATAAGCGGAGGAAGACGAAGACGAAGACGAAGAAAATAGATCAACTGTTAGCGCAATTTTTCGGTCTTCCTCCATGCAAGATCTCACCTGGTGGGGTATCACTGATGATAATGTGGCAAGGTGGAGAAACAATGACCTGGGTGGGATTCAATTCCCAGGCTCCCGGGTGAGAGTCACATGCGCTAACCAGTTAGCCAAAGGAACATCCCCTTGGCCAAGTAGCCAGGGCGCATGATCAATCAAGATACAGTGACAGAACACTCACACTATCACATCTTCCCTCCTCTTTACACGAACATGTCCCCGTGCTCCCACGCAGGGTACCACAAACTTCAAATCCATGGACCTACTTGACTGTACTACATGGATCCTGCCAACAATGCCAAATGTGGAGAAACGAGGGCCCGGGCAGGATTCGATCTCTAAACTCTCTGGTGAGAGTCACGTGCGCTAACCAGTCTGCCAAAGGGCCATCCCCTTGACCAAGTAGCCAGGGCGCATGATCAATTGAGATCCAGTGACAGGACGCTCACACTGTCACAATAAGAAAGGTGAGGAATAAGCCCAGAACTACACAAGAGGAGCTGGTCAGTGACAAGAAGCAAACTGGGACCACAGTTCAAAAGTTGGTGTTGGTAGAAGTCTACGCCGTCTGGTTTCAAGTCATGCATAGCACGAGAGGTTCCCTTGCTCAAGTCATCACATGTCCAGGCCCATCTGGTTTGTTAATGACCATGGATGATCCAGAGGCGGCATAGGACAAAGTCATGTGGTCAGATGAGACCAAAATATAACTTTTTGGTCTAAACTCTACTCGTTGTGTTTGGATGAAAAAGAATGATGAGTTGCATCCCAAGAACACCATCCCTACTGTAAAGCATAGGGGTGAAAATATCATGCTTCCGGGTTGCTTTTCTGCAAAAGGGACAGGACGACTGCACCGTATTAAGAAAATGAATGGGGCTGTGAGATTTTGAACAACAACCTCCTTCCCTTAGTCAGAGCATCGAAGATGGGTCATGACTGGTGGTGTTTCTCAATGCCAAGGAACCTCGCCTTGATGTCTTGGTCCCGTCCCAGTTGCCTAGGAGATATGTCATCAGGAACCACCAGGTGCCTTGACATTGAGAAACACCATGGGTCTTCCATCATAACAATGACTTGAAGCACAAAGCCAGGATAACCAAGAAGTGGCTCTGTTAGAAGCATATCAGGGTTCTAGAGTGGCCTAGCCAGTCTCCAGACCTCAATCTGATAGAAAATATTTAAAGGAAGCTTAAACTCAGTTTTGCTCAGCCACAGCCCCGAAACCTGACAGATCTAGAGGAGCTATGTGTGGTAGAGTGGGCAAAAATACCTGTTGCAGTGTGTGCAAACCTGATCAACAACTACAGGAAATGTTTGACCTCTGTAATTACAAAGAAATGCTTCTGTACCAAACACTGATTTACTCAGGTGTTCAAATACTTTGGTGCAGCAGTGCAACAAATACTTTCTTTGAAAATCATAAAATGGAATTTCCTGAGTTTTGTTAAAATGCTGTCTCTCACAGTGGTCATGCACCTACAATGTGAATTTCAGACCTCTCCATGATTTCTAATTGGGAAAACTTTCAACATCAGAGTGAATTCAAATACTTAAGTTCCTCACTGTAACTCAGTCTGCTTAATTTGAGTGTTTAGGATTTTATATCAATTTCTCTGCAATGATATGAAGATGACTACATTCTCAAAATAGAAGAAAAAAGTCAAAGATATTTTTCTTTTATTGCTCAGCAGTAAAAAGTACAGTGTAATACTACAGTACAAAAAATAACGCCATGTTAAACACTGCTCCGCTGAACATTTTGTAAAATATTCACGCTTTGAGCATGCAAAACAACAAGCCCAGCTGTGAGCATCCAACGCACGAGCGATCCTGTTCAGCGTCACTGTTTTGGCTCGAAGCTTTCAGAACACGTTGCAATGCAGAAAATGCAACAACAGAGGCAGGCAGCATTGATTATTGAATGAAACTACAGAAAGCGAATCAGATGATAGTAGGACCACAGGATAAATAATGAAACTAGATGATCAAACACACTTTTTAAAAATTCAACCACCTCATGTGCTCACAGCAATTATTCAGCAGACATTATTTGTCTTGGCATTTTACTGGTCAACACAGCCTAACAGACTAATCTACAGCTATTCAGCACATTTATGGAGAGAGACCGTTACAGAAGCAAGGTTGCTCTACTTGTTTCTTACAGTGGTGAGAAACCATCTCACACTGGGACAGAACCAGAAGCCACTCCACATAGAAGACAGACAATCAGAGGCACGTACAAGAAGAGGACGCACAATCACAACACGACCAAACTGACCTAAATCAACCATGACTTTTGGCTGGGGGGGGGGGGGGGGGTCTCTCTCTCTCTCACACACACACACACACACACGGCCAACCAACATAAGGAATTAAGACATCTATGTGGTCCCTCAGAGAAGCTGGTGACGCATCGGGGTGGAAATTATTTTAGATCAGACATTTCACTCAGACTATTGAGAAATGACTCCAATATTCAGGTCAGATTAATCAACATAAACTGGGCCTGTATTTATCAAACTGATCCATCACTTCCAATTAGTTCAAGCTTTTATAAAACAAAATTCTAGTCAGAAATTTGATCAACTCCATTTTCTAGATGAATTAAACAAAAATAAATACACATTACAGGCATTGTTTGTTTTATTTGGATGATTAAGAGTAAAATAAGCATAAAAATTTTAATTTTTCTCATTTTTATTTGATTCATGCTTTTGCCAAAAAGTTAGTTTATTTATTTTAAGTCATTATTTTCCAAAGGCAGATTTTTTTGCTTATAAATTTTAAAACCTAATTTCTAATAAATATTTTATTTTGTCATTTAAATCTAACTATTTCTGATTTTCTCAAATTTTATACAAAATTTGCACTAAATATGTTCCAGAAATCTCCTAAATCTTTCTATTAAAATATTTGATAAGATTAAAAATAAGCTTATTACACAATCTTTTTTCACATTTTTATATAGATAATCACAATTTCCTGAGTAAAACCACATTTCAAAAGCTTAAAATCATTACAATTAAATCATAAAATTAGATGTTTTTAAAACTATTATTCAAGGAACAACTGGGCTGATTTGAGAAATTATGTCTAATCATTAATTTTCCTAGCAAATGTACAAGTTAACGAATTGCTCTTAGAAGATTCATTTTTTTACATATTCACATTTAATTTAATTTGTTTGAAAAACTTGATGTTTTACAACATTTTAAACACATTTCCCGTCTGATAAACACAGGCCCTGATGTTACAAACATATTTACACACATTTCTCTTACCCCCTTTAAATATGTTGGTGCTAAATTCAAGTTCATCAGGCTTTTTGTATTTGGGGTTTAATTTCAAAATAAAACAAAATTACAAAAAGACAGTTGTAAGGGTTTCAAAGCACAGTTTTCTTTTTTCTAAAGCAGATTTCATGTGGCAACATCTAGAGTGCAATTACCATTGAGCCACTGTAATGCAACGAAAACCACATATACTCCATTTTATATAAAGACAAAATAGAAACCTTTATCACAATTAAGCCTTTTGTAGAAAATGTACATCAGAAAAATACGCAGGTGCATCCTTGTTGCAAATAGTGTCTTTGTGTCGCTCTTTGTTCCGATTTGTGTCTGTAGTATACAGTATAAAGTCCAGCTCTCTGCACATTTACTTCATATATATATATTTATATTTATAAAATAAGACAACAGCAGGAGGAGAGCAGTGGTTTTATATGACAGAAGCTTTGTCTCTGTTGATGAAGAGGGTCTCCTGGCAGAAGGGGTTAACCAGGACCACACTGCTGCCGCTGTAGTCTCCATTAGGGGGTAGACAAGTTTCATGCTCCTGTGAATCAGAAAATAACTGAATTAAATCAGTGCATGAGGCAAAACAGTAAAATCTTGCTGCAGTGGTCTACTATCTCTAGGAGCTACGAGGAGGTGGGAAGAGAGCAGGATGAAAGACGTACTTTTGATACTCCTGTGTTTTTCTATTAAGATATAGGATAAAGCTTGATTGTGAAGAGAAAAACAAAAGCTTTTCAAGCAGAAACAAAAGATGACTCAGAAGAAAGCAGCAGCAGAAGTGAAGCAGGGGACTGTTGGTGAGTCAATGAGCTGGGCGAAGGAGGTGTGAGAAACTAAAAGGATTTGTTTTACTGCGAGGTCTAATCAAATCAAACCGATGCCCATGTTTGGATTTACGAGCAGGACCCGTCTAGAGAGAGCTGTCATTAACCCACAACACCAGAGGGGGCTACGGGAAGAGAGCTCAGCTCTACAGAGAGGAGAAACAACACCTGGTTGTCACCAGCAGCATCCCACACAAGATCCAACCTCATCTTCTCTCTCCTGACACCTCGCAGGCAGCAGTGAGCGGACAGTGAGCAACAGCAGAAGAATGAGACAGGAAACAAAACAAAACAATTCCAAGAAAGAGGATTATAAAAAAAACGGAACAGCATGCAAACAGAAAATCCATCTCTCCTCCAGCAGATGGCGCTGCAATGCACCAAAACAAGGATGTAGCCCCTGACTGACCCTTCAAAATAAAAGCAAAGTTTGGAGACTTATCAACATAAACTCACGTGACTGTAATTCAATGTTGAAACTTTATTCTCACAAGCTGCTTGTGTATTTAAATTTGATTTTGTGCATAATTATAGTCATTTGCACCTCATTGCAAATAATAGAAATAATAAACTGACAAAAAAAAGTAAATGGAAATAATAAACTAGAACACATGATGGGTATATAAATAATTAAAATGATGGATGGATTTAGGATAATTTTCAGTTGAATCATTTAGTTTTTTTCACATTAAGAGCAGGAATATAAAATTTAACAGTCTTGTTGAATAAACTAATACATCAGTGTTGAGTAAATAAAAAAAGCTGAACTAAACCCTAAAATGGATCTTGAATCTAAGTCAATAATAAATAATTTTTTCACAGTGAGACCAAAAATTAACACTCGTCTAAGAAACAGTTCATGCTGGTGTTCTCAGCAGGCCTCGGGGCTTGCTGACAGGGAGGACTGGACCTGGATCCTCTTGATCCCAGACTCATTAGCAGCATTCTGCTGACGGATACTGAAACAAGTCCCGCCGCGTCAGCGTGTGATAGGGTCTTGGGGTGTTTGTACCTCGCTCTCCAGAGTATGGATCTCTCTGGGAAGCTCCACAGCATGTCTACTGAAGTAGTCCATGGTGATGGCGTTGTTCCAGTAGCTCAGGTTGTTCTCCTGACTCGTCGACTTCTTCTTCTTCCTCATGCAAAGCACAGTCAACAGGACGGCTACGAAAGAACAGCAGAGGGTAAGAAACAGAAACAGATCAGGAATGCACAGAAGTGTTTTGCCTCAGGTGCGACCTCTACTCTCAGCCCAAACTCATCCCAGTGTTGAGATGACATCCAGAAGAGGAAGTGTCTGCTGTCAAAGCGCATCATGAAAGATAACTAACAAAGGCGGCCAGGAAAGTGTAAGATATGATCATAAATCACTGGATATTTGTTAAATATAGCAAAAAAAAAAAGGGAATTAGATTGTAGATTTCATCCTCAAAAGTGTCTAAACTCAACTAAATACAAAGAATAACAGGAGTTATTATTAAGGATTTGTGTGTTTGATCTTGTTTATGACTTACAGATGGAGGACACAGGCACACTTATGGCCAGAACAATCCAAACGATGTCCATCCGACTCAAGCAGATGGTTACTCGGGATGGTGGGGAGTCGCCAGCAGAGCCAGAGCTGTTCCCAGACGTCCAGGGCTCGTTGGTTGTGACTGGGTCCTGGATATTCCCACTGGCTGTGGAGAGGGTCTCAGAGCCATTCCCCTGAGCAGGTGTCTCCTCAAATGGGCTGCTATTAGAGGTCAACCCTGCAGGAATGGTTACGTTCACCTTTTGGGTCCCTGCCGACGCAGTGCCAGTGCCACCACCCTCCTCAATGGCTGCGGTTTGGTTGGTTAGGTTGTCAGTTGAATTCTGTGAACTGAGGTCAGGTTCAGTTGATAGGACCATGTTGGGAACAGTGGAAGTAAAATTTTCCGATGGGCTGGCAACCAGAGAAACAGACCCGTCCTTCGACTCTATCAGCAGCTGCGCAGTGGGGGTTTCGTTCACAGCATGCACCTCCCGCAGAGAGATGGTGTGGTGTACAGGCAGCTCTGGGGACCCTACAGCATGCTCCCTGAGTTTCAGGCCTCGTGCAGAATACACATCAACTGAAGAGGAGGAGCGGGAAGCGAGAGAGGAAGGCTTCTTGGGATCACCTGGTTGTTTCTGCGGCTTTTTGTGATCTGCGATGAGTGTTTCCCCTCGGTCTGATCCGGAGTTGGATAAAACAGACATATTTGGCAATACTGTGCTGGAAAGTTTAGGTCTGCCACTGGCCTGGTTAATGCTAACAGAAACTGGATTTTGGATTTGAGGTACCCTGAAAAATGCATGAACAAGGCCTTGGTTCACAGTATTCCACCTGGGCCCCTGTGGGTGAGTCACATGGCTAACGCTGTTTGGGGTGACAGTTTCTATGTCATGGATGTGAGGAGCCAGGGCTGTGTGAAGCAAAGGGAGACCTGCAGAAGGAAGAATGATGTCCGATGGCTGTGTGCCTTTGGATGACCATTCCCCACTGCTGGAGCCTTCCTGGTGCCAGTAAACTGGGGAAGGTTTGGGTGGGGAGAGGAGGCTCTTGTGGGTGGCTGCCATGTTAACAGAACCCTGGGATGTCTGGCCGAAGAACAGCTCCTGTGCTGACACCACCACTCCTCCTGGCAGGGCTAAAAATGCCAGAACACCTGCAGAAAGAGCGTTGACATATTTAGAGCAAGACTACATTTCTGTTTTCAGTTCTGAAAACATTAAAACAAATAGATCTTTCTTTATTGGAATAGAACTAGTTTTCAGCAGCTTTTGTGATCCATGGAGTTCCTCAAGGATCCATGTTGGGCCCAATTGTTTTTCACTATTACCCTTTGGGCACTTCTGTCATTAACACAACATGCACTTTTACATAGACAATAAATAAATCTGCCTTTCCAGATCTTCAGGATTGTATGAGAATTGTAGGAGTCATTAGTGTCTATAGCATAAAATGTGGTGAACAAACAAAAGTTGTATGAGTTAATTACACTCCTTTAAGTAAATTAAACATGGGGGCACTTTCATTGAGAAACGCATGCGTGTCCTTTTTGAAATACGATTGGTCACTCGGAGTTTCACATGATGCATGCTGAATGTGAAAATAGTTTTCTACACCCGTTTTCTGCATTAGCCACAGAAGGAAAACAGACAAGGAAATGTTTGGGTCAGAAAAAGCCGCAGAGTCACTTTAAAATGAACATTCATGGATTTATGCATCTTGGCTCATAACTGCGGGAGGCTGTGTTGATTTAGCAGCCAGGAGAGAGGAAAGCTCGTCTTGGCTAGTAGAAGTTAACTGTTAGCATTAGCAACTCCGCAACATGGCAGAACTCCTAGTGTATGCTTGTGTTATTAGTGGAGATAAAACATCAATGTTGCAGTTTTTACCTGAACAAGAAAGGCCAATGAAGGCAGCAGAAGACTTGTGTTGCTGTTAGCCAATCAGAGGCAAGATGTTTACGTATCATGAATATGAACAGCTGTTATCTGCCCCCAGCTCCTCCAACTAACTTCTACTTCCTAAAACCAGAGTGCCAGAGCTATTTTTTTTACATAGAGACAACAACTCTCAAGGACTTAATTCATACTTGACCAAAGCAGATTAATTGAGTAATGAGTGTATGACTCCTTTAAATGCATGTTTCCATTAGATATTCACTAAGTCCCTCCAGCATCATATGAGCCATTCCCATCTGTACCGGGTCGGCCCGGGCCGGGTAGCGTAGGTTGTTTACATATCTGGGTGGCCTGGTATTTTTCCGGGCCAACCAAGGCTCATTCTCAGCCCTCTTCTCGAGGGGGTCTGCTTCAGGCCGACCAGGGCCAACACACCCACTGCTGACAGCAAATTCACACCTTCCATTAGAGCAAGCCTCTGATTGGTGGGTAGAATCAGCCCACATGGGCTTAAGGCAAGGATGTGTGGAATCAACCGGGACAGGCTGGGGCCGACTGGGGCTACCCGGCCCGGGCCGACCCGGTACAGATGGGAATGGCCCATTATTTTGAACATGAGTGCAACACAACAGCTGATTCAGATCCCCTCAGGTGTCCAAAATAGTCGCAAAGCTGCGTCTTGTATTCATTATTTTCCTCAGCATTTAATCAAAGATCAAATCAAAGATACTTTATTAATCCCAGAGGGAAATTGGAGTTTCAGTACACACAATTCAGAGATCAGACATACATGGGCAAGACACATGACAAGAATTGGTGACTGTGGTCATTCACAACCCTGAATCGCACTACCTTAATAGAGATAAGAGGGTTACATGAGGATTGGTTCAGGTGGAGGGAAAAAAAGGCACTTCAGCATTACCCTCCACCGGGAGGGCAGCTTTGCTCTCCAAAAAAACACCTCAAACATATATAGGTATAAGCACGAACATGGGGGGTGGGGGCGGGGGGTGGGGTGGCTGGGATCCTGTTTCCCCCAGCGAGAGATGCCATCTAAAGCCGGGCGTACACTGTGCAATTTTTTCACTTTTTTGAGCCGATTTTCCACTCGTGCGAGAATCCACGAGATCGGGGCGAGTTTTGTGCTGAGCGTCGTGTAGTGTACAGGGGGTAACGAGAGGCGATTAACACCACGTGACCAGCTACCGATCAGCAATCGTGAGCTCGCACGGACTTCTGGCGTGTTTAATATTTTGCTCGTCCCTCGTGAGGGTATCGCACTGTTGAAGCGGCGCTGCGAGCAGCTGCGACCCAAAAAGTATCAGAACCGCTCATGGCGCATGCGCAATCCTGCACCAACACCGCTCGCCCGCTATTTCCCTAATAACACATGTTGTTCGTTTTAATTCCTACATATTTTTTTACTCACAAAGATTGTCAAGAAAGCGTGTTTGTCGTGTTCATGTCAAATTAAACTGATCACAAAACACAGATATACTTTATTTTGTTTTCCTCATCCAACCCCCATAAATCCCTGTGTGCCATCCTGCAGCACTCCCAAAGGACAACAGGCAAAACAAGACAAAAAAGTCTGACGTGTTGAGTAAAAACTGCTATTTTTAGCATATTTTTAGGGCCGACGTGTTGCTACCAGACGTACAGTGTGAGCAGTCAGATCGCATCCGAAAACTGGGTCGTACAGTGTGAGCACAGGACTCGTGAGATCTGCCCTGCGAGGAAGTCGTACAGTTTGAGCTGAAGCCGAGTGCTACGAGTGAAAAAGTCGCACTGTGTACGCCCGGCTTAAGGCACTCATCTACTGTACAGTCACAGGTGGGAGGGAGATCTTGGGAGAAGCGAAGAGCACATTCCTCCAGCTGATGACCTCGCCAGGCTGAAGTCCACCAATCCGAAGGCGGGGGGGGGGGGGGGGGGGGGGGGGGTCGGGTTTTCACAGCATCTGTCTGCATTCCTTCGTGGGGATAATTGTAATCACCCACCTGCTTTAATTAAAATTTTACTTACTTTACTCAACAAGCTCCATTGTGTGAACTTGTGGGTGCATGAAGTGTCAGCAGGGACACAACAAATGACTTTGGATGCAGATATAAAAAATAAAAACATACCATATTTTTTGTGCAGAAAGGCATTAAAAATCCTTGAAGCGCTATTGACTCTGCAAGATAATAAAGTAAAAAGCAACTAAGACATTTCACTTCATGAATGAATAATAATGAACAATACTTTTGCTCATTTTAGTTTTATCAATAGCCACTCAAGAAGAGTTACATGCACATTTATTACATTTATTACACCAATCGTGTCAACATGGCCTACTTAACATGCTAAAGCCATGCGGCACTTTTGCTTTGGGGAGATCAATCGCATAAAGAGGCAGCATAGTGACAAGCTATTAGCAGCTGCCTATAAGGATTATTGGTTCTCCAGACAGCATGAAAGCTGGAGGAGGGATGAGCATGGAAGAGCTTATTCATTTTCCCTCTGCTCCGATCATTTATTGACACGGTCAAATGCAGCTCGCGACACATTAGCAAGTCTGCCACTGAGATTAAAACGTGCATTAAGCACACAGCTGCCATCTTTGAATGAGGAAGATGTCTTTCTGTTAAAAGGTGCTGAAGTACGTCACATCTCTCTGATGGCTCATAACATTATGACTATGTCACACAGTGGGTCATCTTTTAGATATTCTGAAAAACATGACATCTAGATATTGGCTACAGAGATTCTGTAATTGGTTTTAACCACTAGTGATTGAAGGCTTCGTTACAGTATTAAAAAATTGTGATTTTTGCTTTTAATATGATTTTGCTCAAAGTTTTCCAAATCAAAATAGGCAGAAAAAAAAGAGTCTCCAGCTACTGACCTCAGCTTACCATATCTGAATGTTACCATGGAAACCAAGTTTCTATTCTCAAAAGAAGAAAGAAGAAAGAGGTGAGAGGATTAATCTGAAGGGGACAAAAAATATATAATGCCCAGCCCCCCAAAAAAGTCACCATCTGGATTTAACTAAGCAAACAGGTATGAGCCTCCTATTGGATAATTACTGCATGGGTGATTATCTTTCAACAAGTTATTTAACCCCAACTGGTGCAATGAGCTGCTTCTCGTTTCTTAAACAACCATGTGGAAAGACACACCTGGTGGTCGTGGAAAAGATGTTAGTCTGTGTGAGGAAAGTCAGATTATTGGCATCAAGCAGAGAAAACATCTAAGGAGATACAGAAACAAATAAAACTGGGTAAAAAAACTGTCCAACGCATAAATAAAACTGATCTGATGAGTCCAGATGGACCCTGTTCCAGTGTGATGGTGCATCAGGGTAAGAAGAGAGGCAGATGAAGTGATGCACCCATCCTGCCTAGTGCCTACTGTACAAGCCGGTGGGGGCAGGGCCAGGGGCGCAGATAGGATTTTCAAACTGGGGTGGGGGGGGGGTGGGGGGGGGGGGGGGGACAAAGTTCCAATGTACCCTCCCCCAAATATACACACACACACACACACACACACACACACACACACACACACACACACACACACACACACACACACATGCACAAACTATTGCAAGCGCCTTAACTAGAGCTCAGTCAGTTTGTGTAATTTCATCCGATGGTTTATGTAAAAACTAACACTTTTACATACGTGTTTGAAGCCATTATGCAGTGGAACGCTGGCAACAAAGCTCTGCCTGATGAACACTATAAATGATAAATGATCCGCACTTGTATAGCGCCTCTCAGAGTAAGGACTCCAAAGTGCTTTACACTACAGTGTATCATTCATCCATTCACACACATTCACACACTGATGGTGATAAGCTACGATGTAGCCACAGCTGCCCTGGGGCGCACTGACAGAGGCGCCCCACTATGTAATTCAGTCATTTGTTATTCTTCCAATCAATTACTAACCAAAACCTCATGCTTTATGCAAAACATTAAATGATTTTCAGCATACCAATCTTTACAGAAAACATAAAAGCCCTAAAACACTGCACATAAAATATATAAAAAAAACAATATTCACTTATCACGTAGAGCAGTAGTTCCCAAACTTTTCAGCCTGACCAACAGATGTTCCTTCGTATTTTTACGATATTTAGAAATTTTCATTATATTTGGAAAGTTTTAATTTATATATAAATATATAAATCTCTTTTTAAATTTTATATTTTACTTTTTTTATGATGATGTGGCACACTTTGACTTCCATATGTAACACATCGGCATCT